CCAGCGTCTCTCCAAGATTTCACTATAGGGGGCTCGCTTTCTGCTTCCTCCCTCTAGCTGCCATCTTGGTAGTGTCCCTGGCCAGTGGACCCGGATGCTCAGCTCTGCCTCCTGGGCTGGTCATCCCCATTGTCTTTGAAGGCAGCGGAAACTTCACCCCTCTGCATTACCGTCCTGTCCCTTCTTGAGAAGTCACCACCACGTGCATGAAAACAACAGCTAGGGTTCTCTCTGGGGCTTGACATAGGAAGTCAAGATGTCAGCGGGCTACTCCCTCCCAAGGTCAAGATCAAGGACTGAGGTCAGGGCCTTTCCTGCCCCTCCCAGGCTGCTGGCTGACCCGGGATTTCGTGGTTTGCAGCTGCAACACTCCAAACTGTGTTGCCGCAGGATTTTTTCTGTGTGACTGCACTGGTGTCTCCTTTCTTCTCAGGACACCGGCCATTGGATTTAGGGTCATTCTAATCCAGTGGGAGTTCATCACAAATTCATGTTCTCTGCAAAGACCTGATTCCCACACAAGGTCACACTCACAGGCACAGGAGTCAGGGCTCCCATATAGTGTGGGGGACACAGCTCAACCCACAATATCTCATCTCTTCCCTATAGGTGGGGAGGTGAAATCGCGTCACAGGGGTGATGAGGCCACCCAGGCCTGTTCAGGGGTGGCCAGGGGCTAAAAAGGGACTGACCAGCTTTGATTTAGGCAGAAAGGGATAGGGGCCCACAGTTTCCCCAGGCACCAGCATCTGGTCCTGTGTCTGAGCAGCAAGTTCTTTGCAATGTTCAACTTCTTGCTCTTCTGCCACTGGTGAAGCCTGCAGCTTCACCCCCACCTGCCATTAACAGTGTCAGACAGGAGCCACAGGAACCTGCTAAACAGAGAACCCTAAGAACTCAACCATAAAACAAGCAGCCAGGCTGAGCACGGTGGCTCCTGTCTGTAATCCTACCCCCGTCAGGAGCCAGAGACTGGGAGGATCGTGGTTTGCAGCCAGTAAGGGTGAAATCCCAACTCAAGCAATGACTGAGCACAGTGGCTCACACCTATCGTCCCAGCTACTCGGGGAAGCACAAATCCGAGGACCATGATCCAGGCTGGCCCCAGCCATAAAGTGAGACCCCATCTCAAAATTAACCAACACCAAAAGGGCTGGTAGAGTGTGGCTCAAGGGGTAGACCACCTGCCTAGCAAGCTCAAGGCCCAGAGTTCAACTTCAAATACTGCAAAAAACAAAACAAACAAAAAAAAAACCCAAACAAACGAAAAACCAAGCAGCCCAACTGAAAATGGAGAACAGACCTGTCCACCTCACTAAAGGTGATACGCAGATAGCAAATACAGGTGAGAAGTGATGCTCTCTGTCAGACATGGCATGTGAGGTCGTTATATCCATCCACAGGAAAGGGCAAAATCCGAGCACAGACCACACTGAGAGCTCACAGGGATGTGGCAGCAACAGAGATTCTCCTTCAATGCCAGTGGTGGTGGAAGCGGGGGCAGGGGACAGGATGGGATACAAAATGGTTCCACCACTTTGGAAGACAACTCAGCAGCTTTGCACAAAACAAAACCCATGCTGACCATGGACTCCAACAACCGTGCTTCTGTGTACTCGAAAGTCTGCACACAGATGTTTCCAGCAGCTTTGGTCACCGTTGTCAAAACTTGGAAGCAACCGTGACACCCTTGAATAGGCAACTGGATAAACAAACTGTGTGACCCCTCCCCCAAACAATGGAATATTACTCAGCCCTAAAGAGGACTGAGCACTGAAGCTGCAAAAAGACAGGAGGAACCTCAAATGTGTGTTACTGAGTGAAAGAAGCCAGACTGGAAGGGTTTCCTGTGATGGTTCCAAATCTACGACATTCTAGGAAAGGCGGAACGGTAAAGAGACACAGGGAGGAGAGGAGGAGAAGGGTGAACACATGTCATTGAGCAGTTGTCTAACTCTTGGGGTTAGAATGCATAACCCTAAGAGTGAGCCCTAATGTAAACTAGACTTTGGGCCGTAACGATCGGTTGACTGTGGGTTCATAGACGGTAAGGAATGTGGTGGGGACTGTTGATGGGGGCACAGGGGTGTGTGAGAAATCTCTGTACCTTCCACTCAGTTTTACTGTGAACCTAAAATGTTCCAAAGAACAAAGCCTATTTTTAAAAACAGGTGCAGTTCCTAGAAGAAGGCGCTGGCCAGTTTCCAAGCCTCAGCCACTCCTGCTGGGTGTGACCTGCTTGGACCAATTCAGCTTTTCTCAGCTGCCATCTGGCAGCAGCCCAGCCCGGGGAGGAGGAGAGACAGACAGGAAGGGACCAAGGCCTGGCCTCCCTCCACCTGGGTCAGGCCCCCTGGGTCTTTGGGCCTCCTTACAGAGGGGCAGCTGGCTCTGGGGCCCATGGTTTAGATTGCTACAAGCAGATACGATTGTATGAATTCTCTCACCTGGCACTACTTGTACCAGAACGGAAACTTTACAATGCTAATAGTCCTGAGGCCTGGGAACTTCAAAGCAATTAAAAGCAGGTGGTGTCGTTATTTGCACTCTCCTCTTGGAAGTATCCTCTGGTGCCCACTTGATGTAGGCTGGGGGATTCCCTGGCCCCGCAGCGCAGCGCCGCTGCCCCTGGTAGCTTGTCAAAGACTCACGTTCCCCAGCTCCCATCCCAGACCCGCTAAATCAGATCCACTGGGCTTAGTAGGCTTAGACAGGAGACTCTGAGGCAGGCCCCAATTTGAGTACCTTGGCTCTGCAGGCATTTTGGACGGAACCATTTGGTGTAGTCGGGGCTGCTCAGTGCATAGTCAGACACTGACCAGCATCCCTGGTTGCCAGGGGCACACCGTCCCCCAACTTGTGACCAAAAACATGTCTGGACAGTACCAACCATTCTCTAGGGACCAAAAATGTAACCCCCCCCCTCCTTGGTTAAGAACCCCTGGCTGGGAGGAAGCCCCCAATACAGGACCACGCAAAGCCACCAGCACGTGTTGTGCGTTGAGCCCCAAGTGGCTGTCACTCTCTTCTGTCATTTGCTTCTCAAGCAACTGAGAAATGGTCCCCATTTTATATCTTACAAGCTGTGTAACCTTGGGCAAGTCACTTCAGTAGTCTGTGCCTCTGCTTTCTCAACACTGGTGATAGGCTATTACCCACCTGATACGGCGTCTGAGCACATTCCCGTGTGTCAAATTCTCTACCCAGTGATCTAAGTGCAGTCAGCACTCAGCATGCATTAGCCAGGCTCTGGTCATTTGGCTTTGGCTCTGACCACAGTGGGTTTGTGCTCGCTGATGTCACATACAGCCCACTGGGTGCCAGCAGAGGATAGCTCCAGGGGAACAGGACAGGGCTTGTCAAGCAGAGAGTGCAATGACTAGGAAGAACCTGCACTCACAGTGCCAGGGCAGCCAGGAGGGACTCAGGAGTCTAGGCCTCCCCCCCACCCCCTCAGGGGCTTCCTCTGCACAGTCAGAAGCAGCAACACCCAGCTTGCTGAGCAAGCCCTGGGGCGGGGTGGGGGGGGAAGGGGGGGTCCCAGGAAATGAAAAACAACATGGTTCCTCTTCTGCATCTCACATCCAATAAAATATTTATTATTTCAAGAAATAAATCTTTAAAAAAAGAGAGAGAAAAGAGTGTCTCTATTGCTTTCCCCCAAATAGGCCAAGTCCTTGGGAACTGTGAGTTTCTGTGGCTACAGGGCCCAGCCAGACTTTCCACCCCATAGCGGCCGGCCCAGACCTCTCCTTCAACTCTCAGGGCCCAGGGGCTGTCTCCCTGGAGAGGGAGACAGGTGCCTTGCAGGCCCAGCCTCTCCCAGGCAGGACGTGGGATCACAAAACAGGCAGGTGGCAGTGTTTCTGGAGGCTTGATTGGAATCAGATAGGCTCTGGGTGGGGAGCACCCTAGGGCTGGGGCGGGCATGCCACAGAGATGGGTGCTTGGGTCTAGATGAGGCTTGAGGCTGGGCTGAAGGAAGCTGGATGGAGCGGATGCAGCATGGATGGGACGGGAACTATTTGTCCTGGGAAACCAGAAACGGGGCTAGGTGTGCCATGGGCAAAATCTCCATCCCAAGCGCAGCCTGCAAATATGCTGAAGCGGGGGGTGGGGAAGCGTGGGGGGGGAAGGACTCGGTGCCTGCAGAGGTGTCTGGGCTCCAGAGCCCATTTTCAAAGGCTGGGGTGGAAACCTGCCACTGGAGCGGGTGGCGAGGCTCTGGGACAAGCCCACGTTTGGAATCACAGGTCATGCCAGGATGGGTTTTGGGAGAAGCCCAGATGAAGAGCTGGAACGAGCAGGAGAGGGAGAAAAGCCAGCCAGCCAGCCAAGATCTGCACGGTTTCTGCACCCCAAGTGGGGTCCCCCAGCACAGAGGAGAGGCGTATTTGAGAAACCAGGGGTGGTGAGGAAATTGGGAAGGTGGGGCTAAGAGGAGGTGTGGGCAGGGTCCCTCAGCCTCGCCTCCCTCAGTTCTGGGTCCTCTGTCCAGAACTCCCCCCAATATCCCTAGATGGATGCACTGGTCCTGTGCACATGGCTGCCCTCACCCACACCCCAGGTCCTCCTCAGAGCAAGTACGGCCAAGGCCTGCTCTCCACCCCCTGGCCCTTTCAGTGCACCAGGGGGCAGCATGTCCCTGCTCTGCATCTCTCAGATCAGGAGGCCCATCCTGGGCCCAATGGCCAGGGCCCTTGCTCCATCCAGACCAGATCTGGCCTTGCACAAAGCAACGGGCTTCCGACCTCCTGCCCCTGGGCCAATGGCCTCTGACTAACCCATCTGTTCCATCATGAGTCCCAGATGAGAACGAGGAGGCACCTAGGGTGGGTGCCAGAGGCTGGGCATTGCCTCAACCTATGCTGGGCTCTCCTCTGCCCACTACCTGGCCAAGGAAGGAAGCTCCAGCCCCAGGAGTCTTGGCTGGAGCTTGGAAGGTGCTGGTGCTTTTCCTGCCAGCCATGGGCGGGCACAGACAGAGTGGCCTTGGGGCCTCACAGGCAGCCCCGGCACAAGGCCACCTGGCCCTTGCGGAAGTCACGGCAGGGACAGAGCCTCTGGTACTTGGTGTTGGCACCTGCACAGCTGAAGAGCAGGGGCTCCTTCTGAAGGTAGCACTCCTGGCCAGGTTGGGCGAGGGCTGGGTACAAGTGGTGCATCTCCCACTCAGTGCTGTCACAGGGCACCTTCAGCCTGCATGGGTGCCACCAGAATGGTCATTAAGGGGCATGTAGGGGAGCACCGGCTGCCCATAGCCTGGCACTGCCCACCCCTTCCTGGCCTGCCCCACCCTGGATGGGGAGCTCAAAGAAGAGGGGACCTGTCTGGAGGGACTGGGGTCCTGGTGAGCCAGCGGGAGAGACACCTATGACAGCATTTGCAGTCTAGGCAAGGAACTTAACACATGGACTGGGCAGGAGGAGCAGGGGCAGAGGCAGGGTGGGAGGGATGTCCCTGGTGGTTTGGACTGTGTCAGGAGGATAGCAGTGTGACATGGATACCTATTTGGAAGACCAGGGGCCTTCCTGACTGACTGGTTGGGTGGAGGCTGGGAGGCACCTGGACGGGGTTGGGCTGGGGACCCGGCAGAGGGCTGGCACTCACTTGAGGAAGGCGTCCTGGCTGTTGAGGAAGGGGAAGAAGGAGGGCTCACAGATCAGCCCATGGTCCAAGCAGGCGTCCGTGCAGGCCCTCCCAGGGGCAGCCAGCCAGGCCCGAAGGGAATTGGTGGGGGGCCAGGCCCCTGGGACGGAGCTGGCATTCTGGGCCCACTCCAGGTGGGTGGCATTGGGAGCCAGGATGAAGGGGCTCTGCTTTGGATGGGTCCCTGGGGGGGCAGGGCTGGGGGCTGCACAGAAGTCCTGCCAGGAGGAGAGAGGTGTCAGGGAGGGAGAACCTGGCCTCAACGCTCCAGTAAGAGCCACTATTGGACACTTTACTGAATGTCAGGCAACTTCCTGCATTATTTCATTTATTCCTTGCCGTGGCCCATGGAGTGGGCTCTAGTTGGCTTCCAGATTATGTACGGAAGAGGAATGGAGGCTCAGAGGTCAAGTACCAGCCCATGGATCGTGGCTGGATAGCAGAGGCCTGATTTGAACTCACACCTGTCTGGGAGAAGTCTACCCTGCACTGCCTCACAGCCTGGGTCAGGCTCAGGGCTTCTACAGCGAGATCCACAAGCCCTGCCCACCATGGGGACAGGGTCCTAGGCTGGCCCACCAGAATCTTCCTGCAGGGCTCGGTCTCAGGGGCCACAGGTCCCAGCAAATACTTTTACTGTGAGCTTGGTGAAGGACATCCTCATAGGTGGCTAACATGGGAGCCCTGGGTTCTGGCCCTGCACCCCTCACTCTATGACTCCAAGGAGCTCTCCCTTCTGGGGCCTCCATATTCTCATTGTAAAGTGACAGGGCAGAACCAGACCCTCCCAGCCCTAGTAACTGTGAGGTCACAGCCAAGGTGCAAAGGGAACTCACCTGCAGCTCTGTAATCTCCAATGGCCAGAAGCAGCTTTCCCCAGGGATTCAAGGCCCTGCACCCCATAGGTCACTTCCAGGCTTTACCCCAGACCTGAAGCCTGACACAGCTGGCTCTCCAGGGCCACCTGGGCCCTGTGGCAGCTCAGACCCTGGAGAGTACTGGGCAGGGACAGGACTGGGATAGACCAGACAGGTCCCCTCATGTTCCCAGGCCCAGAGAACAATTGTCATATTCCAAGCGCTCTGACAGCCACAGGAAAGAAAGCAGTTTTGCACCTGCCACTTGTTCCTTGGGATTGGGGTGACATAACAACTGCCCTTTCCCCCCAGTTTCTCAGTGCAGAAACCTTATGCAATCTCACTAGCTTATCCTTATGGGGCAGGGGCCGAGGGAAGGGGGCCCCTGCTCAGTCTCCAAACATTTTTATTTTGGGACTGTCTGTCTATGTAGGCCAGGCTGGCCTGGGACTGGAGATCCTCCTGCCTTAACCTCTGAGTGCTGGGATTATGGTAGTGTGCCACCAAGCCGGGCTTGTTACCAAACTTCTAAACAACTTTTTAAAAGTTAAAAGTGCACATCTTTGTGTTTCTGGATCTGTGGGGTGGATCGGGAGCTCTGAAGGTGGGTCTGGTTCTGAGCCCTACCCCTGTCCACACCTGCCTGGTCCCAACCTGGCCATGGGTGCAGAGCCAAATGGTTTGCGGGATGCAGAGCCAAATGGTTTGCAGGGTGCAGCAGCCTGTGAAGACCCTGACACTGTCCAGGCCCCGACTCTGGTTTGATGAGGTTTTGGGGTGGGAGCCCCAAATCCCTGGGGCAAAAAAACAGAGGTCCACCTACCTGGTGCTGGATGTAAGCATGGATTCGCTCCAGCATCCCCTCACAGGTATACTCGTAGGGCAGGTAGGGGTCTACCTGTGAGAGAGACAGGCAGATATATTGGGTGGGAGGGACCTGGATTCTGGGGACCCTGCCACACTCAGCATTGGGGTGGAGTCCTGATTGGCTCTCAGCCCAAGGAGCCAGCCACCTCATCCACCTGGCCCTCCACTCAGCTGAGTACCTGTTCCTGGCTACACCTTCCAGTGGTGCTCAGGGACCCAGGCTCAGGACCAGGAAGTCCTGCCCTCAGACCCCACCTGTCTCCCACCCTCACCACCCCAGCCTCCCAGCTCCCCGTGCCAGCTGCATAGAGCTTCTCACTTCCCTGTGAAGCCCAGTACACTGTCCCTTCCTGGGCTGAGATGCCCTCTTCAGCATCACCAACAGTTCAGATCCAACCTCCTGGGACAGGGTCACGTTCCTGGGTGGGTGCCAGCACCTCAGCATCCTCCCGTGGCACAGATTGGTCCCTGTGCCATCCCTTCCCATTCACTCCTCGTGTCTCTTGTGAGCTTGTGGGCCTCGTGAGGGTGGGGACCATGGCTTGTGCACCATGGAGTCCCTGGTGCCTGGCACGCAGTAGGCTCTCAGGAAAGGATCATGGAATGACAACACCCCTAGAATCCTTCTCAAGACACTGGGGAGCTTACAAGATGCCTCTTGTAACTCGTGCTGCCCAGGCCAGGCATGTGGGCACATAGAGAGCACCCCCAAAAAGAGGCTACATGCCAGATATCTGAATGTCTCATAGTTACAAAGCAGCCTCCACTGGAGGCAGATGAATTAAGTTACTGCACACAAGAAGCCAAGAAAATAGAGAGGTGACAGGAGTTAAGTGGGTACCCCCCCACACTTCCTTAACTGGCCAGCTCCTTCCTGCTACATCAGCCACTGTGAAGGTGACTGCTGGACCAGAAGGTCAGTCAGGCAGCAGAAGCAGCAGTGTTAGGGCACGGGGCTGACCGAGTCTGGACTTAGCAGAAGAGTGCTGGAGACTTGGTCTCCCATGTCCACACACTGTTAGCCCCACACCCAGCCTGGCTCCCAGCAATGCCATTTCCTGCTGGCGACTCAGAAATTGTTGATCTTCAGCCTCAGTGGTAAAATTGAACAGCTCTGACCAAGCCTGCTACCCCTCCTTCTTCTCACCAGGATGGGTGATGGCAGGGTGTCTAGTGGGGCTGTGCTGGAGACCCCACTTCCTAGGGCTATGTTCTCTGGCCAGGGAACATCCCCGACACTTGAAGGTCCCAGGGAGATAGTAGCCGCTGCTCCCTTTGACACTGGTCCTGGCCACCTTCTGACTCTTGGGACAAGATGCTGCAGCCTTCCCTCGTCCCAGGACTGGCTTACAGGCACTGTGAGTAGGCACTCTTCATCCAGGGGCAGTTCCAGAGTGCCAGGGAACCCCCAGGGCCTGCATCTGCCACCTTGCACATCAGTCCATCAACACAGCCATCTGACTGAGCCCTACTCTCTGCATAGCCTTATCCCAACCTGATCTCATTCCCAAGCCAACGGCCCAGGAAGACCCTGCTACCAACTGCTGCCTCAGCTGGCACCCTGACACTCAGGCAGAGGCCAGAGAGCTGCTGAATACTGCCCCCAGACATGACTGGGAACCCCATAGGGGCAAGGCTTCAAACCCAGGTTATAGATGACAAGCCCCAGGGAAGGGATTTTCCTCTCCAAACACCTCAGCAGCAAGTTGTCCCCTCCTCACTCAAAGCCCTTGTCACAAGGTCCCTATGTGAGAGACCCTCCCAGCCAACCACCCTGCCTGCCATGACTCTCCTGCCAAGGTAGCAGCTGCAGAAAATTACCCCCGCTAGGTCTAATTGTAGGTGTGTGCAGCCGTCAGTCACAACAGTGACAGGTGCTGGTCCTGCAGGAGTTGCTGGCCCGTCATGCTGATAGCGGAAGGGACATGTGGAGGTGGTATTCCCTTCTGTCCTCTCACCTTAAATGGCCTCCATCTGGACAGAGAGATGCCACAGGCAAGTACAGGAAAGGCACCTACCCCTGACTTCCCTCTGCTGGGCAGCTCAGACCTCCTCTGCTCACCTCTGCCCTGCTCCAGGCCTCTGCCACTCCCTCCTGTCTGAAAGGCCAAGTGACATGCAGAACAACCACTCCCTGATGGTACCTCTCCTTTGCTCTTTCAGACAGGCCAGCTGTTCCTAAATCAATTTTCTAAAATAGGACTGTCAGAATCACTCAGGGTGTGGCCAGGCATGGTGCGCATGCCTGTAATCCCAGCTACTTGGGAGACGGAGGCAGGAGAATCTCAAGTTTGAGGCCAGTCCCAGCAAAGTTAACAAGACCCTATCTCAAAACAAAATATAAACAAAAGGGTGGGAGGTGTGGCTCAAGTGATAGAGCACTTTAACTTGCAGGAGGTCCTGGGTTCAAGCTCCAGCACTGAAAAAAAAAATCACTCAGGGGGCTTATCTGAAAGGCAGATTCCGAGATTCCAAGGTCACACCTGGTCCCACAAATGAGGAGGCCTGGGGGATGGGCAGGGATACACCGTTAAGTCCCTCCCAGGTGATTCTAGGCATTTGGGTGATTGAGTATCTGGTGCCCAGGTGGCACTGTCAGAACAGGGCTGGGAAGGGGGGCTGGTTCAGACCCCTGCAAGTGTCATAGGTGTTGTCATAGGTGCAATACCTTGGTTTCTTGATCTTTTGCTATTGCTATTTTCTAACTAACAAAACTAAACAGACTTCAGTAAAAAGAAATTAAAGAGGAAAACAATGAGAAGGAAGCTTTCTCCCTTCTCCCCTGGCCCCCACCAGGGGTGTCACCCTGGTGACACATTACGCATTTCACTTCTTGTGTGCAAAAGGCGAGGGCACGCACAGCCCTGCCCCTGCACCCAGCTCTCAGGTCTGCAGAGGGGATCCAGAAGCCAGTCACCCACAGATACCCCTTTAGCTCGGAGTACCAGAGTATCATCGTGGAGCTCAGGTTGGCCCGAGCCCTGGGGATGGGGCAAAGCCCTTGCAGGTGGCCCCCTGCAAGGGAAGGAGGTGCAGACAGGATGGGTGTGGGGGGCAGAAGGGTGTGGCTGGTTGGTTTCCAGTGAAGGTGAGCCAGAAGTGACCCTGCTCTCCTTCCTTAGCCGGGGAAGAAGGACTAAGTCGAGCCTCAGTCTGGCACTGGGACTTCCAGTCCCGTTTAGACCTGCAAGCCAGTAACAAATACCCAGCCCTCTGCCCAGTGCAGTGCAAGGCTGTGAAGAACTTAAGCCCCACCAGGCCCCCAGAGCAGGGGCGACACCAGGCTGCGAGTGCTCTGTCTCCATTCAAACCCCATTGGAACAGACACCTTGCTAGGGTCCAGCTCCCAGTGCAGCTGTGGTCAGCACCTCCTTATAGCTCCTTGGGCTACCGTTGCTTCTGACTTTTCCCTTGCCTGGGCTGAGCAGGCCAGAGACAACCCTGAGGCGGAATCCCCAGGCATAACCCTCAGCCACAGGTGGGTGGGAGCTGGAGGACACAAAGCCCCCTGTTCCTGCACCAGCAGGACCAGGCTGAGATGTGACCACCCACCCTTTCAGATGCCTGACAGCACATCTGCTCCAGGAATGCACCTGCTGATAACATTCCACCTGCCTCCCTTCCTGGGATCAGCTCCCGAATAAACTGCTTGTGCTGAAATTCCTGTCCAGGGTCCCCCACCCCAGGAGCCCAATCTCAGGCAGCCTGTGACCAGAAGGGACTTCGGTAGAGGAAGAGGTCACCTGAAGCAGACTCCTAAGAGGGGAGCAAGGTTTTCCCCACCACCATGGCTGTTCAGCGGTCCAGCCACTTTGCAGGTCCCATGGCTTTGCCTATTAAGCTACAGTCAGAGGGGCCATGCCCCATCAACTTTCTGCTCCCATGTACCCTACACAAACACACACAGCCCCAACAGAAGGATGGGAATGTTCCATCGGGAATGGAGAAGGGCGGGCAGGGGGATTCCAGGGTATCAAGGGACTTTCTAAGGCATTTGTTGGGGCACAGGCTAAGACTTGGGGTCCTGCGTGGCTATGGCTGACACAAGAATGCTGGGGCTGTTTTAATGCAACCTGTCCCAGGATGAGAACCCCACGGAGGGACCTGTCCTGCAGCCTCTGCCCTTGAGCCAGCAGCAGTCTCGCTGGTGTGGCTCCACCTGCAGAAGAGACAGGCCACCACATTCCCCTCTTTGCAGGTGGCACTCTGCTGCAATGGCCTGCCTTGGACCCACAGGCTCCCAGGAAGAGTGCATTTGATGATGGGATTGTTGGGCAGGGAGGGGACACCACAGGTGGGGATTTCCGCTCAGCCTGGTGTCCGAGCTATAGAAGAGGAGGCTGGGAATAGTCACAGTGAGAGGAGACCGGTGCCCATCCCCGGGGCTGAGCCCTTCCCAGATGGAGGATTTGCTGAGCACAAGGTGTGAATGTAAGCCACCAAAGTGTCATCGAGGAGTGGGAGCCCAGCCCTAGCCCACCCCCGCCTGTGTGCACACACACCCCTAGGCTCCCACACTCACTGAGTGAGGCCCACTGTTCTCTCCTCTTGCGCTGAATGTGGGTCAGCACCGAGGGCACTTAGAAATACTGGGCTGAGCTCCACCCAGACCTGCTGACTCCGAGCTGCATTTGAACAGGCTCCCAGAAGAGCTGAGTGTGTGTTATAGTCTGAGGTGAGCCACTGAAAGGGAAGAGACCCCCCCTACAGCAGGCTCAAAGACCCTCCATGCATCCATCCTGAAAACATTTACCTAGCACCCAACTTGTGTTAGGAGTTCTCACCCATCCTGGCCCTCTAAGAGGCTCAATAAATGATTCCACCAGACCCATGGCTCCTATGTAAGGTTGTGCGGGTTGCTCACTGTGCAAAGGCCTTCTCTCTCCAATCCTCACGCCACATTTGGAAGTAGGGACCCATGCTCCAGTCTCCAACCCACGTGCCCTGACTCTGGGCTGTGTTTGACCAGTTCTGGGCTGGACTCCTCTGACATGCCAGACTTTCAAGTGTGGAGTTCCCCCAGAGGGGAACCTTTTTCAAAGTATAGTAAAGACCCAGGGGACAGGCCGTGGTGATCCTGGTCCTGACTGGGTCTGAGGCTCACCTGGGTTTTCATGATGGTCTTGATGGCTGCTTCAAACTCCTCCGAGTTGTTGTAGTCCACAGTCCACACGTGAGGCTTGCCAATAAAATTCTCCGCGTAGGGGTGCTGGGAGAACACCTGGCCAGGCAGACAGGTGGCTCCTCTCTGTCCCATAGCTGGGCTGGGCTAAGGGAAAGTGCCCCCACCCATGTGTCCCTTCTCCCCCTGCCCCCTGCCTCAGTCTCCCCCCTGCACTCACCTCCCTGGAGGTGGGCTTGCCTCGGAAGAACTCATGGTTGAGGGAGCTGTGTGGCGGGCTGAAGCGGGACTGCAGGAAGACACAGCCATTGGCAATGGCCTCCAGGGGGGCTGGGCCCTCGTAGGGGAAGCCGAACCCTATGAAGAGCTGAAGCAGCCAGGTGGCACAATGGTCAGGTGAGACTGAGCCACCAAGGCCCAGGAGTCCTGGGAAGCAGCAGGCAAGGCTAGATATGGGGCGTTCACAAGAGGCACAGGGCAGGGGCAGTAAAGATCATCCCAGGCATGGACAACCCCTCCCTGACTGGGCCTCAGTTTCCCTGTTGTGAAATGAAGGGGTGTGATTAGGAATTATCAGTGGCCTTTTCTTGCTCTATCAGACTGTGGTGTTGGAGGGGAAAGGGAAGAGCAAGACTTCTAAGCCCAGACCACAGACCCACACCTCAAAAGACCTCCACTCACTCATTCTAAAACATTTTTTTCAGTTCATGTCTGTGCTAGGAGGTCACTCACTCCTAGAAGGTACTTAATAAATGATTCATCTGGGGTGGCTGAGTGAAGCTGTTCAGGATGTACATTGCACAAGGCTACCTTCCCTTTTCCCTTCCTGCTTTCCTGCTCCCAACACACACACACACACACACACACACACACACACACACACACACATCCAAGAGATCTGAGGAACGACGTCATGGTGAGACAAGGAGAGGGCCTGAACACTAGCTAGAGACTCTCCATCCTCAGCTGATACCCACAGCCTGCACCAGGGCTATGTCTGTTGTACCAGCTGCTGTCCCAGGGGTCCAGCTCAGGGGCTTGCGGAAGCAGCCAGTCAGGATGATGGCCCCAAAGGACTCTGGCTGGAACTCATTCAGCTGGTCCTACCACCCCTCTGAAAGCTTGGCCTGGCCTGAGAGCCTGTTGGGCAAGGCTGGTATGGAGAGGAACAGCCAGGCAGGCAGCTCCTCCTCCCCTCACTGAGCCAGGGCTCTGCTGGCCCTGTCTAGATCCCTTTCACTGTAGGGCCTCCTTGCCTAATGGGCACTCCATGTCTGCCCTGGGCTCTGGCTTTGGATGGCAAAGCATGCTGGAGTGTATCCACCCACCCACCTACCCGCCCGCCCATCCATCTGCCCATCCACCCACCCACCCATCCATCCACCCATCCATTTACCCATCCATCCATCCATCCATCCACCCATCCATCCACCCATCCACCCACCCATCCACCCACCCACCCATCCATCCATCCATCCACCCATCCACCCACCCATCCACCCATCCATCCATCCACCCATCCATCCATCCATCCATCCACCCACCCATCCACCCACCCATCTACCCACCCATCCATCCATCCATCCATCCACCCATCCATCCACCCATCCATCCATCCATCCATCCACCCATCCACCCACCCATCCATCCATCCATCCATCCATCCATCCACCCATCCATCCACCCATCCATCCATCCATCCATCCACCCATCCATCCACCCATCCATCCACCCATCCATCCACCCATCCATCCATCCATCCATCCATCCATCCATCCACCCACCCATCTACCCACCCATCCATCCATCCATCCATCCACCCACCCATCCATCCACCCATCCATCCATCCATCCATCCATCCATCCATCCATCCATCCACCCACCCATCCATCCATCCACCCATCCATCCACCATATGGAGGTGGCAGCTGGGCAGCCATGTGTGTGGCCCGTGAGATGGACGCAGTGTGGCAGAGGCTCACTTTGGCCTTGCGCAGCAGCTGCTGGAACTCTGGCTGCGGCAGGAGGCCATGGTTCTTCACGAAGGCAGGGACCTCAGGAGGCCGCTGGCTCTCGTAGTACACTGTGCCATGGATGTCCATGTACTTGTTGAGGATGCCCAGAAATTTCTCCTTCCCCTGGGGGGAAGAGGAAGAAGAGGAGATGGAGCCTTGGAAGTCAGAGCCAGCAGAGCAGATGCCCCTGATCTGGGGTCGGAAGACAGGGAGCTGGGCCATTAGCCCATTGTACAGCCCCTGGATGGAGCCTCTCTCCTCTTGTCCTTGAGTTTTTCATCTGCAAGTTGCAGAGCTTGGATTGAGACTAGAGGCTTCAAGATTATTTTTAAACATAATGGATACACACACAGCTGCATGGCCTCCCCTGAACCTGTAATGACCCAAAGTACCTCTGAGGAGCCACTGGGCTTTCAGGAGCCCAGATCACTGTGTTCCCTCCCTCATCTTTCTATCCATCCATCCAACCATCCACCCACCCACCCATCCATCCATCCATCCATCCACCCACCCACCCACCCAAGTCATCCAGCCAGCCAGCCAGCCTCCTATCTAACCATCCGTCTGTCCTCCTATCCACCCATACATGTTTCCACCCATGCATATATCCATCTGTCCATCCATCCATCCACCAATTATCTGTCTTTCCATCCAAGGAGGAGAACCCTAACGGAAATTCCATACTTTCCATGGAAATCTACAGAATTACCAGAAAGGGTGAATTACTGGAGCGCCCTTGTAGAGGCTGCATCTGTTAGAGTCGGTTCGGTTGCTATCAATGTTAAAGGTGACCTGGGGCTGTGAGAGCCCCAGCTACAAGCCAAGAGTGAGAGCAAATCCTTTTTGGAAGCAAACGCCATCATTTCTGATTGCAAATTATTTCTACAATTTCCATATTCATTTTCCAGAACCCTTTCAAAAGTAACTAGCAAGATGGCAGACTAGTAAAATGGTTAAAAAAAAAAAAAGCAAGATGGCAGACTACTAAAATGGTAAAACCAAATATACAGCCATCCCGCCAAATGTAAAAGCACTACTTACAAAACTGGATTATGTTCAGAGTAAAGAAAAAACATTAAACCAAGGAGTAAGGTTCGAGGAACATGTCACAGGAAGCTCTACTCATTCCTGACCCGTCCCCAGTGGCAGCACCTGTTCAGTTTCTTGTACCTTCTCCAGATCTCCTTATGTGTCATAGGCACATATATGTTTTATTTAAAATACCCACACCCTCACACACAAGTGGGCTTGTGTTATACACAGTTGTCCCTTGGCGTCCATTGGGGTCTAGTTCCAGGGCACGGAATAGACACGAAAATCCCCAGAAACTCGAGTTCCTTATACAGAACGGTGTAGTATGTGCATAGAACCTATACCCTCATACGTTCAGTCATCTCTAGGCTACTTAGATGCCAGTCCAACATGATAAATACTAGGTACACAGTTCTTATACTGTATGGTTGAGGGAATGGTAAGAAGACAATCTGTACATGTTCAGTACAATGCAATTTTTTTTCAAATATTTCCAACCTGTGGTGGAAGTCACAGAGATGAAAGGCTGACTGTACCCTGCTCAACACCCCTGTCCTCATGGGAGCTGTTTCACAAACAACCTCTATCCTTAACACATCCGCAATCCTCTGACCATGCAGCTTGCCTTGGCTCACAGGCAACTCTGTGACCGTCTGCGGGCTCTGGAGAGGTTGGGTTGCACCGGCTGGCTGCCTCTCCCCTGCAGCCTCTGTCTCCTGGCCCCACTCCTGCTCCCGGATCTGCTAGCTAATAAAACAGCACCTAAGCTCTAGCCTCAGGCTCCGTTTCCTGGGGAATCCAGAGAAGACAGGCCTGCTTAGCACAAAAAAAAAATCACAAACTCCTGACCTTGGATGCCTGCTCCTATCCCAGGAAGATGAACCACTTCTTAACCTCCCTCCTTTCCTCTCCTCTCCTTCTGGTCCCCAGACTTCTGGACGACATTTGTCCCAGCTTTCCTTTTTCTCTTCATCCAGCCACCTCTGACTCCTTCGGGAACAGACACAGGGCAAAGATTTCTTGTTTGGGAAGGTGGTTGTCTTGCTGAATATGACTGCTCAGGGCTATTACAGAAGCTACTGAGATGGAGATGGGACCTTTGTCTGTCCAGATGTTGGACACCTCTCTCTCTCTCTCTCTGTCTCTCTCTTTTCTCTCCATAGTTCCTGGTTTCCCTGACAGCCTTGGTGATCAGCAAGGATCACTTGTCAGGTCTCTCCCCTTACCCCATGGTGGTCCAGGTACCTCAGTAGGGGCCTTGGCCCTTCACTGCTGCCTTCGAAGCTTCTCCCTGACACTCTCTGAGGCTCAGGGTGCTACACAGAGCCAGGGTTCAGCATCTGGGCTCTGGGCTTGGGTACAGGTAGGTTGCAATGCCACTTACTAGCTATGGGCTCACCCTCTAGCCTGCTGAGCCTCCATCACCTCATCTGTAAAATGGGCACAATAACACATCCTCCCTACCACATGGAGTGAAGTCAGTTGAGAAGACACAAGGGAGCACTCAGCACAGAGCCTGGCTCACAGTAGCACCATGGGTCACAGTCTCTCTGCAAGAACTCTCCAGCATCTCTCCTCTCCTCCTTCCTCAGTCAGAGCCCAGAATGCAGCATGTAGCTGCCTGGAATATGCCACATCTCAGAGTTCGCTGAGCTTGGCTATGACCTCGTGATAGAGATCTAGCTATCTGGCCAAATGGGAAGAAACTATCCCTGAGCAGTGCACTTTTCTCTGCCCCATCCTCCTTCTTGCTGGATGGAATGTGATGTAAAGACTCAAATGTTTGTGGCCGTCCTGAACCAGGGGTGAAGACTGAACATGAAGACTAACAAGAGACAATGAGCACAAGTCCCTTCCTGCCAGCCCCGGGCTGACACCTCCCAAATTCCTGAGCAGGAAAGACAAGAGAGTTTGATGTTGTTGAAATCACTACGAATGACTGAGGTTTCCCTGTGACAGCTGGGCCTATCCCTGACCAGTACCATAGAGGGGAATAGTAACTAAGATGATTGATCAGGTAACAGGCTTGACACAGGACACAGGTGCTGCTCAGTGTCACCCACCATCAGGACCTTTACAATTAACCTTTGCCTACGCCACCTGCCTTATCCCAACAATGCATCCTTCTCTGATCCTCCAATCCTCTAGCAGCTGTCCTGTGACCATGCAGGCAGACCTTGGCCAGCCTCTCCCCTCAAAGAGGGACCCAGGAAAGATTGCTCCTCGGACCTGTGTGACCCCCTCACCCTCCTCCCCACCTTGGTCCATTCACAGGAGCTACTGCTAGAGAGATCAAGGACATGCAACAAATAATTTTCATACCTGGAGCTGCCTCATTGCCATGGGAGCACAAGGAACAGAGGAGAGAGCAGGTTAGTGATGGGTTAGCAGGTGTCACACCACCCAGGCTTCTCCAGAGACCCCAGCCTAAACATGGGGATCTATCTCTAAGCTCTTCCTACATCTCATCCCACAGAATCCCTACCCTGACCTTGCCCCCTTTGCAGGGTTTCTATCATTTATCGTGGAGGTGGAGGATGACTTAGTCACAGTCCATAACGTAATCATTCGAATTTCCTGTGGACAGCCCAGGGACAGAGAGCAACAAGTCGTCAGCCTCCAGGCTTGGTGTCTTTAAAGGACAGTGGGAGACATTCCCCACCATCCAGAGCTGGGTGTGGAGGATGGGAGCTGCATTCTGGCAGGAGTTGGGCACAGGGAGAGAGACTGCAGTGGTGTGGGCGTGGCCAGCCCTGGCAGAGGCAGGGCCAGGACGGTGATGGGTGTGGCCTGCACCCATGTGGGTGTGGCCATTTGCAGTGGGTGTGGCCTACTGGCAAGGACGTGACTGGCACTTCCATTAATGGCCGCAGTGGTGTGGGCGTGGCCATCCATAGTGGGAGTGGCTAACACTGTGGCAGGTGTGGCCCTGCTCACCTTCCAGATACTCGCCTCCTTGCCGTACACCACGGCCATGTTGCTGGCCTTGCCGCCTTTGATGAGCTGCTTCTCAGTCTCGTTGAGCTCCTCGGACACGAAGCCCATGAAGGAGTTGTCCGGGGTGTGAGCTGCAGCCCGACCACATGGAAGGAAAAGGGGTTACCAAACAGCCAAGGGAACACCAGAGTCCCCCTGAACCCACCCTGTTCCTGCTGTCTCTGCTGGTCAGGGTGGAGAGGGGACGGGCACTAGGGACCTATGCTTTCCTCCTATCCAGAGACTGTCACAGAGCTCAGGGTAGGAGACAGATGAGGCCATCTAGGTCCCCCCTTGTTTTCAGATGAGGAAACTGAGGCCCAGGGCCCACGTGACCAGCCAGGACTCTGCTATACACTCAGTCCCTCTGCCCCAGGTGGAATTTCCTCCATCACCTCCATCCCTGCCACCCCAGTCCAGGCCACCTCCTCTCTTGCCTGAACATGGACAGCTACCTGCCGGTGTCTGCCGTTCTCTTGGCATAGTGGTTTCTCCAGAGTCATCCTTTCAGTGCTGGGTCCTGCCAGGTCCCTCCTGTGCCCAGCACCCAAGAGACCAAAGTCCCCCCACAATCTCCAGGCTCTGCCCATCCCCCTGCCCTCCCACACCTGTGGAAGCTGCTGTGCCACAGGGCTGTGCTCCAGTGGCCTTGCTGAGGGGTCCCTTCTGACCCTAGCTGCTCACTGTCCCCCTACCTTGCTTTATTTTTCATCACAACACTACTGACACAGACATTAAATTACACATTTATTATTGTCAGAAGAAAGCCCAAGATGGCAACAACTGTGTGCTTGCTTCTGTGTTCCCAGCCCCTGGCACCAGGCCTAGGCTGGATGAATGACAGCAATGACCCTGCTGGACCCCCTTCTCGCTTTTCTTGGGCAATAAAATCCTACTTGCCCTCAGGGCCTTACTCAGCCATCACCTTCCAAAAGCCTCTCTAGGATCCAGAAACCCTCTCTTGGGGGCCTCTGCTAAAACACAAACCACACAGGGCCCTCCTCATCCACCCCCAAAAACCCACACCCCAGGGACTCCCTGTGTCTTCTCTCCTGTTCTCCCACCCCTCCGGCCATGCCAGATCAGTCTGTCTGTCACAGCAGGGACAGATGAGGGCCAGCAGGTACAAGGCACGAGGTCCTTCCCCTCTGCACACCAGGACCTTGCATAAAGCGCTCACTGACTCCAACTGACTCTGATCGTATCTAACCGCCCTTCGCATGTGGCAGAGGGTGGGGTGGCTGGGGTGCGTGAGGGTGGGAGCAGAGGCATGTTCTCGCTTTCCCAAGATGGCCTGATTCCAGACACCCTGTTTCCCCATTGCAGGTGCACACCCTCCACATTCCACAGTGCTCACACTGGGCTTAGTGTGGGTCCCCCCATCAAGGCCCACGGAAAGTCCTAATTGGCACTGTAGAACAGGGCATGGATTCCTTTGAAGTGCCCCAGTCCCTCACCCCCCAGAGCTCACGATTCTTGGGTCTGAAAGTCCGACCAGTGTAGGAATGGCCTTTGCTGGTTGCAGAACAAACTACCTGTCCTCTAGAGCTTCAGGAAGGAAGGCTCTGTCCCCAAGGCCTGCAGCTGTCTGTGGATGGTCAAGCCAAAGATTGCTCTGCTGTCCCCAGAGGCTCTGCCCTACCTGGGAGAGGCCCCAGGAGGGCAGCCAGACCCTGTCTGCCCATTTGCAGGTATGCACCCTTGCTCTCCCCACTCTGGTCCCAGTTAGGGCTGCCTCCTGGGGCTCTCTGTCTCTTGCTGGAAGAATCCATCATGAAACCACCCTTCCTTCCAGCAACTCCACCAGAAGGGACAGATTTAGAACAGGATTAGCTAAACTAGTGGGAGTGGGACAGGGAAGGACTGTGACCAATTAAAATGACAGGGACCATTAAGCAATGAGCTGTTGGGGAAAGGTGAGGGCAAGGCCAGGAGAGGGAGAGGCAACCGGCCTCTCAGTTAGCTCACTGGGGAAATCAACCGGCGAGAGAGAACAGGTGTGCTTGCAAATTCCTTCCTGGGCTCTGAATCAGTTACGCTGGCAAGCCTCTCTCTTGTTTTTTGCCCCCCTTTCTTTAACGTATTCAATCAATTAACATTCTCTGAGGACCTATACACACTCCAGAGAGATGAAGATAAAGTGGTCCCCTTTTTAAGTGGTTCATAATTGCTTCATAGGAAATAAATACATAAGCAAATACACTTCAATATATGTCTTCTCAGAGTTCAGTTTAGGAATTATAAGAATAAAGGTAAAGAGGCAAAACATTCTTTCTGCAGTAGGAGTTGAAGGGACGAGTGTAAGTGATAATGAAAAGAAGACATATTTGACTCGGGGTTTTGAGGAATGAATATGAGTTTGCCAGGTCTGGAACTCTACATCCTGTGGACTCCACTCTGGAACAGGTCTTCATTTTCTTCATGCAGGTTCTTGCCTGAGCCTCTTAACCCACCTTCTGCTTTCTGCCCATCTACCATCACCCATTTTGCCATCTGTAGTTGGCCAAATATACTCCCATAAAATTATTTTCTGAAGTCAGGCATGGCAGCACACACCTGTAATCCCAGCACCTGGGAAGCTGAGGCAGCAGGATTGAAAGTTTGAGGCCAGCCTGGGCTCCAGAGTGAGACCCTGTCTCAAAATAATTTTTTCCGTTATGACATTCTCTAGCTTAAGAACCTACTGTGGATTCCAAGTGCAAATTCAGGAGCTTTTCCTAAAAGACCCCACTCCTCTGCTTCCCAACCTCCCAAGCTCACCAGCCTCACAGCTGAGCCTTTCCAAGTGGACTCATTACTCAAGACTTGTTTTCTTCCCCCTCCGTAAGCATCCCCTCCCCTCCCCTCCCCTAATATCCTCTCCTGCCTGAAGTCTGTTCCCTGTGGGCCACCCCACACAAATCATCCTTCCGCTCAGGACACTTTGAAATGAGCCCTGGGGAGGGAGTCTGGTGCCCACTGAGCTGTGTGACCTCAGGCAGCTCGCTCTGCCTCTCTGGGCCTCAGTGGTCTCATTTGGATTCCATGGGCTCAGTGAACCTTCTGACCTTTGCCACTCTGCTGAGGATCTAATCAAACCATTGCTCATTTATTTAGAAATCACATTTCCCCAGTGCAGCCTAGAACCCGGAGAAGAAGGAAAACAGTACTCTAGGCACTCCCAAAGAGAGGCAGTGAGTTGGACAGGACAAATAAAGATAATGTGCTTTCCTTCCCAGAGAGTCCCTGGGGACTTCGCTCAGCCTCCACTTTGCTCTTAATTTAGATATAGTCCTAACAAGAGTGCTTATCTAGCTTTCTGGCCCAGAGCCTTCAAAGAGCTGCAAATTAGACATATAAGATGCTGCCGGAGCAGATGAGCTGACAACCATTAAAAGTGACAGCTGCTAGACTCCCAGCGACGGCCACGCTAAACAACAGACTGGAGAAGGCGACGCAGCGCCGCACACCTCGGCCACACGCCAGAGAGAGAGCTGACCCGCGTTGCCAAGAAAAAGTTAAATTATTTTCAGTGTGCTGCACATAAGAGAGTTGGACAGGGCTGGGTACAGTGGCTTGTGCCTGTAATCCCAGCTACTTGGGAGGTAGAGATGAGGAAAATCATGGTTCGAGGCCAGCTTGGGCAAAAAGGTAGTGAGACCCCATCTCAACAAAAAAACTGGCCTTGGTGGTGTGTGTCTGTCATCCCAGCTATGGTGGAGGTATAAAGAGGAAGATTGTAGTCTGAGGCTGATCCTGGGTAAAAAGCAAGAGACCCTATCTGAAAATAATTAAAGTAAAAAGGGCTGGGGGGGGCATGACTCCAGTGGCAGAGCACCTGCCTAGCAAGCACAAGGCCCTGAGTTCAAATCCCAGTACTACCACAAAAAAAAAAAAAGCAGCAGTGATGTTAGTGTGCGTGTGTGTTTCAAAGTCATTAAAATCATCAAAACTGAGCTCTCAGCAACTTGCCGTGATGCCTGGGTCTGTGCCTTTCTGCTCAGGGCTCCGGCCCTCCTGCCATGGGTCTGACCTCTCCTTATTGAGCTCTTGCATTTCCGCAGCCTTCCAGCTGCTTCCGCGTGCATCGTTACCCGCTCTGTTCCTCCCTCCCCACCCAACGTGTTCTTGGCCCCGCTGCAGCCTCTCCAGGGGGCACTCGGCCCACCAGGTCACCCGGACTGACCTCACTCTCATGTGGAAGGGGGAAGGACGGGGCCTTCTCCCTGCACCAGCCTGGGAGGAAGGAGGAGGTCCCCGCCCCCCCACGGCCCTCGCACTCACGGAACATGGTCATGAACTGCTTGGGGTTCAGGTTCCAGTAGCCCCAGTTGGTCCGGTAACCGTGCAGCGTGGCGTACTCCTCGTGGTTGTATGCAGGTTCTGTCCCAAAGGTGTCGATGACTCGAATTCGGCACCTGTCCCCGGGGATTAGGAACTGGGTCACATCTATGTGTGTCCCTGAGCTGGGAGGGGTGAGGGCCCAGCCATGGGTGCCGTGACTAGCTGGTGGCCTGGTCAGAGTGGTGCAGGGCATGGCTAGAGCCAGAGCTGGGACTCATCCCCACTGTGTGACCACAGCAAGGGACTTAACCTCTCTGCGTCAGCATCCCGCAGGTGCCAGCCTCTCCGGGTGGTTTGGATGCCCAGGCCCTGGCCTCTGCCTGGTGCTCAAAAACTCTCAGCCGCCACCCAGGAAGGGAGGCGCTGCTTTAGGGAGGTCACTTCTGCTGCCCCTGAGGTCGCTGTAGGATTCCCGATTTTCTGGGCGGTAGGTGGCCATCCCTGGGGTGGGGGTGGGGGTCCTGGGAAGGTGGAGCCAAGTCAGGGGAGGCACTGCTCAAGTCTTCTCAGCTAGGTCACTACTGCTTAGGTGGACAGAGGCTCTGCTGGATGCCCAGCAGGGCTTCAAGTTCAAAGCCAAGAGGAACCCTGTCCTTTGCAGGGTCAGCCACCCCAGAGCCAGGTCAGCTTTGAGGCCACGGCCCCAGAACCTCTGTTTGTGTCCATCCCACCCCAGTGTGGCCCCTGCTGACCTCGAATGCCCCCACACAAAGCCACCTAGCACAGCGTCCTTCCTGATGACCCAGAATTGCCACTGCCGAGTGAGTGTTGAGGTCGGCGTGACTCCCCCAGAGGAGGCATGGTGTGGGGGACGGGGCGGGGGGAGAGTTCCGATTGCACAAAGAAGGTACATTAATAATAAAAGCAATAACACTGCCTGTCACTTTTTTCCCCAATAAAATCACGTGGGATCATAGATGGGGCTGAAGCAAATTCACAGCAGGGCTCTGCACTAAATTAAACCCCAATCCTGCTGTCTGCAGAGCGACAGGAAGTCATGACATTGGCCTTCCCCCCCCCCCACCGCAAGAGGGAATGCGCACAACAGAAGTCACCTCCTGAGGGTGCTGTCCCCTCCCTGTCCACCCCGCCCTGCCCCCACAAGTCCTCGGCCCCCTCCTCCCAGGCTGACTCTGACCCCGTCCCCAGCCTCACTGAGATGAAAGTGGTGGTGGTGGGGGGAAACAGAAGAAAAGCAGAGCAGGGCAAACAGGGACGACCCGACCCAGTTCTTCATCCTAGGGCCAGCTGGCAGGAGGACAGGTGCAAAGAATGGCTTCCTGCCAGCCCTGCAGGTCCAGGCCCCTATCTCCCCACATTGTCCTCCTGGGTCCTCCATCTCACCGGTACTTCTTGAAGGACAGTCCCATGTGCAGCTTCATCTGCTGTAGGCCGTGGTAGTCCGTGTAGATGAGGTCGAAAGGCAGCGATATGGTGAGTGGGCAGTTTCCCCGGCCTGGCGGCACCCCTAAGTTACTGAGAGAAGAGCCCATCAGAGTCTGAGCCCTAAGAAACGCACCTTCCCAACCAGCCCTGCACCTGGTAGGAGAGGGGCCCAAGCTCACCCCAGTTTCCACCAGCTCAGGATGAAAAGGGAGGGCAAATATAAAAGGGCAGAGAAGTTAGTGAAGATCCAGGTTAAAAAAAGCACAATAGGGTGGCTGTGTACAGCTACACAGGTTTTTCACTGCACAAGGGAGTCTAACCATGGGCAAGAAGGGCTGAGAGGCAGCCCGGGCTAGCTTGCCAAGCCATACACCTGGCCTGGGCTACCTGCCAGGGGAAGGGGGGCTTTTGTAATTGTCAAAAATATACTCCTCTTTCAGGGATGTGATGCCAGGAGTGAGCAAGTGTAAACCTTTAACTTGCACAGAGCGAGCGAGCGCCATGAACGCAGGCCTTGGCCCTCAGGGCCCCTTCAGTGTTTGTTTGGAGCCCAGGATCCCAAACTTCGTGCTTCAGAAGAGTGAGGTCCTGCTCTGCTGACCTGGCTGCTGACACTCCAGGGCCAGTTTGTGGCAGTGAGTTCCTATAAGTCTCTGGGGACTTGCTCCCTGCACAGGCTCCAAGTCCTCCAAGGCCCTGCCTGTCCCCAACTGCCTCTTCATGTACACACAGGTTTTCATCTGGATGGGGGTGCCCCTCTGCTGCCTGGCAGGCGCCTGGGAGTCATGTCATCTCATTTCATGGGAGCCTGAAGGCTTCCCTTTAAGTCACCATCTGCTCAGTGGACCCCCTGGAGAAGGGCTCCAAGTGCCCTGTCACAACCATAGCTCCCAATTTAAGCTTTTGTCCCAACCCCCAACCCCATCCATAAAGCCAGCACCTCCCTGGCTGCGCTCAACTCCACAGCCCTGCCCTCTCCCCACCTCAGAAGAGGGGGAGGCACTGGGAGCCCCTGTGTGAGCTCCACCTTCTTCTTCCACCACTCACACACAGAAGCCCAGGGGCTCAAAACTGCTGAGGACTCAGCCCTGCACCTACTCCCAAGACCTATCCTGCCCACCCTCTCCCGTTCCTTCCCTTTCACAAGCATTTGTGGGGTGCAGGTGGGGTATCAGGCCCTGTGCCCCATGGAGAGTGAGCTCCTGCCTAGAGCACAAGACCCACAGGAGAGAGGAAGCCTGGGGAGCAGGCAGGGGATGAGCAGATTCACTGGGAACCTGGAGTGGGCACCCTCTATAGCAGCAAGGTGCTGATCCAGACAGAGAGGGAGAAGGAAGGGCATCCAAGGGGAGGGAGCTTTGTAGCGCCCACCCTTGTCTTCCCCTCTCAACAGTTCCTGGGGGGCAACAGACATCCCCTTATGGGGCTGGATGCCCACGTCCTCTGCCTCTGACCACGCCATCAGAGGCATTTGACTGCCTCCAAGCAATGCCCACCTCCCGTGGACTCTGCTTCAGGTGCTGGAGCAGGAGGAGGCTCAGGAGGCCTCCCTAGGAGCCTCTTCAGAAACTACACAATGAGCAAACTCAGGCCAAGGTGATGGTCTTTGACAAAGACACCGATTCATGAATGGCCAAGAGCCACAACTGATCAGTTCCCTGGGCCATGGCTCCAGATCCCTGAAACAATTCAAGACAGGTGGAAAAGTACCAGCCTGTAAGGCTGCTTGCTCATGCCCCAAACAATGTTGGCAGAACCGGGGGAGGGGGCCGTGTACATTGTCCTCTGAGCACACTGTCCAGAGTGGGCCTTTCAATGGTGTGTATGGCCACCCACCCACGGGGCTAAGATGGAAAGACATGGGGTGGGGTGGGGTGGCAGAGGCTGCAGGTGATGGGATCACAGGGGTTGGCCTGTCCCTGCAGAGGGACAAGAAGGGCAGGGCCTTCTCTGTCCTGACCCACCTGCTAACACACCTGCCTCACCGAGCTGCAACCCACCTTTGCTGCTAAGTGTGGAGCAAGGAATGCAGAAACCCACTAACCTCTTTTCTTATCTGTAAACTTTAAAGTGGCCACGCTCCCACTGACCCACCCTCCTGTGTGTCCCCCTTACCACTGACCCCACTCAGGAGTCTCAGAACCAGGGCTGCTAAGCTGTGTCTTTGCAAACCCAGAAGACGAAGGAGAATGAATAGGGACCCGGGAGGCGAGGGGGCTGGAGCTGCAGCAGGAAGCAGCTCCCATAGTCTGGAGACTTCATGAAATATTTGGTGGTGTTTTAAGTGCCCAGCAAGTTCAGGTTCTGCATTTGGCTCTGCAACCTTTCACCCTCAAAACTTCTCCAGCAAAGCACATGCCCCAGGAAGAAGACTCACAGTTGCCTGGGCCTCAGAGGTGCCCGGAAAAGAGCAGGTCCCAGGCTCCCCATTGCTTCCTGGACCTTAGGATCCTTCCTCATTCCACCCCTGCCAGAGCTCCAGCCCCATACCCCACACTTTGTGTCCCCAGAGTTTTTGGTGGCCTCTCCTGGTGGCACAGAACCCTGGTAAGTGTGCATGGAGTGAGAAGGAAGGGAGGTAGGGGACAGGAGGACTGCATTCATTACCCAGTCCCATTCCTGTGCAGGGCCCACATGGGCAGGGAGGCCCCATCCCAGTGGGGCACCAATGGGGTGGGATGGGGGGGTTCTGCCAAGCAACGGCCTCCCACGTGCCTGTGCCTGCTTACAGTGAAGTCACAGTCTTGAAAAAAAGAGTATTAATGAATATTAACAGGGGAGAAGGAAGCTATGGAAAAAAAGCAAGTAGAACCAGCGTGCCTGTCACAACATCCAGCTAAAATAGTACAACAGACACTTCCTGTCCTATTACTCATGAGACCAGGTACAGCAGAAATTTCAAAGTCATGGTCACTAAACCTCCCTGTGATCCAACCAGTTTCCATGAAGTGGTGCCCTGTCTTGCGGGAACTGTTTGCTTACCTAGAAGGTTCTTCTCACCTGCCAGGCTTTACCTCACACACTGCCTCCTTTTCCAGGAAGCCTTCTGGGACTCCAGCATCCCTCCCCCTGTGTTCCTTCTCCTCCCTCCTCCCTTTGTCCATACCTGGGACACACCTAGTGACTGTCCTGAGTCACCTCCTCTCAACTAGGGGCTCCTTGAAAGCAGGGCCAGATCACCTTTGACATTTCAGGGCTGAGGACAGGCCTGATAAGTATCTGCTGTGCTCAAGGAGGAATAAATAACTCATGAGCAGGAGATCACTTGGAAGAAGTAGTTAAATGTACGAGGCCAAGGCCGAGGGTGGGGGAAATCAGCAGAGCCAGCCTGGAGGGCTGGGCTGGCTCTGAGGGCCAGAGACTGGGCTCCAGGGCTTCCTGGGGCCAGGGAGTGGGGGCGGGGGGGGGGGGGGAACCAGGGCCCTGCATGTGGCTGGAGACAACGCCACAGCAGGAACTCCTCTTCCCAGGAGGAGTTAATGAGCAGCCCAAGTCTCCTGGCTCTGGAGGACAAGGGTTTTCAATTTAAGGTGACTTCTCTGAGTTAGAGTCTGCAGAGTCTCATTGCTCTTGTCTCAAGGAACCTGAGTTTCACCCGTGGAGAGAAGAGAGGTCAGCTACCAGAGGGGGCTGGAGGTTTATCACCTGTAATTCAAGTTCACTTTTATAGGCAATTTTGTGCTAAGTGGTTGGCAGCAGCAGTGGTGTGAACTGAAAAGAAAGCCAGCCTGACAGCCAGCAGCCAAACGTGGCTGGGGAGGCCTGTGTGCTGGTCCCACCCTGTTGGACTCCTCCAGATCTTCCTTGTTTCCAGTACCAGCTCTCATTCCTGAGGAACTTTACTCAGGCCTGGGACAAAGGGAGGATCTCAGAGCACCCCAAGGACTGGTGAGTGAAGGAGAAGGTTGTCATTCCTCCCTGGCCCACTGGATGGAAGGGACATTCTGACAAGAATTGCCAAATCAGACCAGGCATGGTGGTGGATTACACCTGTAATCCCAGCCACAAAGGATGCAGAGGGTTGTGGTCTGAGGTTGGTCTGGGCAAAATGTAGGAGCCTATCTGAAAAATCACTAAAGCAAAAAGGGCCTGGGGGCGTGTTTCAAGTGGTAGAGTGCCTGCCTAGGGAATACAAGGAATAGCCAAATTGCATGGTCAGGATAGGGTATATTTCTAAATTTCCCCATGTCATGTGAGCAGGAGTCTAAACACCCAGATGTAGGGAGTGGGTGAGGAGTGACCCAAAGAAATGGAATGTTTCTACAGGCCACCAGGATCCATCTGGCCCCTGTGCCCAAGACAAATCAACCCACCCATAAAAGCCATGCCACGCAGGAAGGGAGGAGCACAGACCCCGTGTGTCTGATGGAGGCAGAGTCTGGGTCTTGCAGGAAGAGTTCTAGAGGTGGATGGTGGCAACGGCTGAGAGATGTAGTGAACATAGTGAAGCCACTTGGCTAAGATGGTAAATTTTGGGATGGGGGTGTGGCTTAAGTGGTAGAAAATACTTGCCTAGCATGCACAAAAGCCCTGGGTTCAATCTCTAGTACCAGAAAAAAGGAAAAGATGGCAAAGTTTATGTGATGTGCATTTTACCATAATTAAAGAGAAAAGGCACCACGTGCACACTGCTGGCCCCCGTGCCCAGCAGTGTCTCCCAGAGGCACCATGGTCCCCTCCTGCCTGGGACTCCCAGCTAGCCATGGACAATACAGGGACTCCACAAATACCCTGGCAGGGATTGTCTCTGTCACTTTCTGCTAAGAGATCAGAGTAGGATGGGGAAATAGGCTGCAGGAGGAGGGAGAAGCCTACGCCCTGTGGAAACACGCCTTCTGCTAGGAATCAACACACTGAATTCGGGTGCAATGCAAAATATTCCTGGGTAGGAGCACTGTGCGCAGCTGCCAGGTGGCCTTGCACAGACACTGGTGTCCGCCTCTACTTCTGTGACATGTTGCTCAAACGACTCTCCACCGTCTCTTCCAAGCTAAAAATTCCCTGGTTTTATTTCTCTCTGTGCCTTTGGTCTGTGGCTAGAAATAGTCTCTCCAGGTAGTGTTCAAATTCTGGAACAAACTATTCTCTCT